CAAAGTACAAGTACGGTTCTACTCTTTTTTTTTTTTTTAATTTTAGTACGGGGTCTATAGGGTCTCACTGCACAGATCCAGACTTCTGGTGATCCTGTGCTGCATAGCTGAAGCTCCCAGAGTGCTGGGATTACAGGCACTTGCCACCATGCCCAGTCTCAGTTGTGTTTCAGTGCGCACAGCACAGCACGACGGGGATCGATGGTTCTACTTTCATAAAGCTGTTTCTATTCACTTGTATTTACATATGCATGGAAAATGCAATGGCATTGACAAAACGTTAAGAGGAGCTACAAAGAGGGGAGGTGATGACTCCCTGCTGTAATGTTTTTATAATCAGCAATGCATCATTCCTTGTACTCAACTTCAATAATTCTATGATCTTCCCAAATCCCTATGCATCATTTTGTGGTCTTTTCCCAGGTAAGACACTTGAGCTCCCCAAGTGGAAATGGCCTGCAACATGACAGTGGATACAACCTTTCATGCACTTATTCAGTACCATTATCAAATCTATTGATTTGGCTCAGTGAAAGGAAGAACTTTTAATATATTTTATATATTCACATATATTTTGATAAGATATACAATCAATATATTATATATTAATGTATTATATGTAATTATTTAAAACGTTTATATATATAAATAAAGAGGGTGGACGCAACGCGATCAAGAAAGTGCAAGGAGCAGTCAGCACAATGCTCAAGTAAGCAACCTGGTCCTACATACAGCGTCCTACACCACAGGCATGGCGGACCGGCTGGCCTTCAGGTGACACTGACTGTACAAATGTTTGACTTTGTGACACGGAATCATATAATGTCATGAATCGGATTTATGACGTACAACAGTAGTATCAACAAACATCATACTCGCCTTTAGAATTCTACAGCTCTACAGCTTTGTCACAAATACCTCCCATTTCCTTTTGCCTGCAAAAGAACTCTTGACAACTGGCTGGACGAATAGTGTCAGTCCCACTTTTTGGATGGTACCACTGAAATACAGAAGAAAGAAATCGCGGGCCCCGGACCACAGAGGTATAACTGGGAGCCAAGAAGCACCTTCTGATCCCATGTTCACTGCTAGGCAGCCACTGCACACGTCCTCGGAGCAGACCCATGAAGGGCAGCAATTCGGGCTCAGGGTCACTTGGTTCAAAGTGGAAGGCACGTGCCTGTAATACTAGCACTCTGGGAGCCTCAGATATACAGATCACAAGTTCAAGCCTGGCCTAGTTGACTCAGCAAGATCATGTCTCAAAATAATTTTTTTTAAAGGGAGGCTAGGGTGTGGCTCAGCGCAAAGGCCCTAGTTCAGTTCCCACTACCACCACCGCCAAAGGAAAAAAAATAAGGAAGTGCCTAACCAGCAAACCTTAAGAGTTAATGGAAAAGAAATCTAGAGCATTCACAATGGACACGCCTACCACTCTGAAACAAACCACTTGTCGTATGGAATGAGAGCACTCACAGAGAGGCTCACTGTTGTCCTCTAGGTTTCCAAATGTGGAAAGTAAAACTCACCCCATGGCTAACGCTGGAGGTCTCAGCAGCTGATCCTCAGACTCAGCCACAGAGCAAGGTTTCACGGGAACTCTGACAAGTAGGTCTAACGTCAGTGTGTGTGTGAGTTTGGAACATCTGCTCTCAGTCAGCTGCTGAGAAGCACTGGGTAAACACGCACAGTGGCTGGACAACCAAGGAAGCGAAGAGCCAGGTCCACAGAAAAACACCATACTGACGGGGGACACTGCTGATGTACACTGAAGAGAGCGCATGCAGGATCCTATGCTGATGTCTTCGAGCATGAAATAGCAGAAGCTGGATTCTTCTAGGACATACTTAATGTTTTCCATTGGCATATGATGAACAGGCAAATTCATCTGCCATGAAATGGAGTAAAGAGACAAACTTAAAGCTAATGCATTTTTTCAAATGAAAGGATCGCCAGGGATATAGATCAGTGCATAAGCACCTGCCTGGCAAGCACAAGCTCATGAATTTGATGCCCAGGACCAGGGACGGGAGCTTAAATGAAAGGGTAGATGAAGACCACTGCCAAAAGTAATGTTACACCCAAAAGAGATTTTATAAATCTCACGCTTGCTATTTACATTTTAGGACCTAAGCAAAAAGGCCCAAAAGATATTCTGTGGCTCTTGGCAAGATTTTCTCCTCACTTGCAGGCTGAAAAGGTACAGAATTGTGGAGGGGCACATCCAAGCCCTTTCTCAATTATGCAGTCTTTAGGAGCAGCGCGTCCACAAATGAGATTTTAAAAACTGCATCTTAACAATGACCTTGTCAATACATTTAAAATGCAGAAAATGTAAATTTCAAACTATGCAATTTTCTCCCTGATTCAGACTATGTGAAAACTACAGGAGCAGATTCAAACAGATTTGAGAAGATACATCACTACATTCTATGTTCTAAGGGATCTATAACTAAAAATATGGGGAAAAAATGACAAAAGAAAAAAGTGTCAAGGGGCCAGGGGAATGGCTCAGTAGAATAAGCTCTTCCCTGGCAAGTGCAAGGGGTTAAGTTCAATTCCTAGTTCTGCCAAAAAATTAAAAAGAAAGTACTGGCTAAAGTAAAAAAGTTTATTTGGGCTGGCAAGATGGCTCAATGGTCTAAAGCACCTACTTAGAACAAGCTTAGCAAAGCACAGGGACCGCGGTTCGATCCCCCAGCACCACATGCCAGCCAGCCCCGCCCCCTGGTGGGCTGAGCTGGCCACACACACACACACACACACACTAAATAAATAAATGTTTAAAAAAAAAAAAAAGAAAAAAGTGTCAAGGGACAAAGCCATTAAAGTTTGCTCACTATTCCTCCATGTAAGGCCCTTGGAGCCCATGAGCCATGGACTATAAGGTCGGACCATCCAAAATGAAGCACACATAACAGAGTATGTCATAGCCGCAGGAAAATGATTGGGCTGGGGAGATAACTCAGCTGAGTAAGTGCTTGCCTGGCAAGCACAAGGTCCTGAGTTCAATCCTCAGTACCGTCAAAAAAAAAGAAAGCAAATGGTGATGCTCTCTACCATCGCCTTTGGCTGTTGTTCTAAAATTAGCTACAAAGCAATGACATACCAAAATTTGTAAGTTTATAAAGCCAATACCAATCCACTCAATAAAATTTTAATGACAATTAAATGAAAACTGAATAATGCTCTATCAACATTATACATAGAGCACTAAAGACATTTCACGTAATAATTGGAAACACTTTCATGTCTACATAAAGAAAAAAAATTAAATTTACTACTTCTCCCTCACTACTCTTAAGGAGTATATCATTTCTAACTTTACTGAATGAGTAGAATTATCAAAGACATGCTAGAGCTATCTCACCTCCAGGTTATAAACGCCACTCATTAAATGTTAAGGACTCTCTCAAGCCAGCTATAAATTTCTGAAGCCAACCAATGTAGCAGTTACACTACAGGAATCAATAAGCACAGCGACCCATCAGCCCTTTCCCCAATCTCCCCACAGAGAACCGGCTCATTAGTACATCGCTGTTCCCTACACAGAAGAGTACACTCTACAAGCAGCTTGCACAGAGTACAGGAAGCCGCACAGGTAGTACCGGGGCCGAGACAAAGGAGACTTTCTACATTCTCTGCTATAACTTGTGCCCAGATGTCCTCCCAAAGCCCCACGTGGTCACAGGCGGGGCTTTCCAGAGGTGGCTGAGTCAAGGGTGTGTGATGCCGAGGTGGTGCATGCGATGCTGGGATTGATTCCCGGTGCAGTGCTGGGATTCTGGAGGCCCCACTCTGGGTGTGCCCCACCTGCCCAAAGGTGGAGAGCCTGGCAGCATACAGGGGATAGAAAGAAGGCTGCCTGGCGCTTGCTGCTTTGCTTCGTCATTACTTTGCAATGCCCCTCTGCCATGCCACCATGCATGAGAGCCAGCCAACTATGGACTGAAACCTCTATGAACTGTGAATCAAATAAACCTTGCTTTTTTCAATTTGGGGGATGTCAGGCATTTTGTCTTAGCAATGAAAAAAGTAATTAAGACACCCCTTATGTTTCCTTATGCCATCTCTGAATCAATACTACCTCTCTGGACACTTTCCATAAACAAATACTAGAAAGAAAAAAATTTAGCAGTGAAGATGGAGGAAGGCAACTTTTAGTGGAAGATATAACCTGGTAAACTCATTTGTAAGAAATTATGAAAGCGGGCTGCCAGAAAATGACATGGCATACCACCCACTTATTTGAAAGCAGTCACAGTAACCAGGGAAGGGAAATGTGACACTGCATGTATTGTGCGGCCATCCGAAGAGGTACAAGGCACATTCTTTTGAACCAGATCTGGTCACTGTAACACTATTTATAAAAGAGATACTTTAATATACCGTAAGTTCTTCAGTATGACCTATGATTTTTATATTACTCCCAGTATGAAATGGAAGGAAAACTCAAATAACCACAACAAATAAAGTCATCCCCAGCATTTAATTACTCGAAGATCCACAGGGTTTCTCCCTCCACTACTGAGTTTGTGAGAGGCTACAGTAAAGCCTTCCACGGTGATCCCGCTTCTCCACAGAAAGCAGACGGCAGGGGCAAAGAGGACAGCGTTTGACAGAAATCGGGCACCACACAGTGCTGGTTCCAGATTATGCTTGTCGGAAACGATGTACCTTAAACAAAATCCAACTACTTTTGGATCTAGTGATCAGTTGTTATCAAGTGGTATGGTTTTTTTTAACAGTCACCTAAAATTTAATTCCTAAAATAGTGGCTGAAGATCTGGAAAAGAATGACAGCTACACTTGTACAAAAAGAGATGGCTTCCCTATAAATGCCTTTCGATTTCTAAAAATCACATTTACCAATAAATGTATGATCCCAAGATTAACCTCTATGTCAGACTTAGACAGGACATATTCTAATGGCTGCCCAAAAATACTGTGCAATTTAGAATTGCAATTGTTCGCTGCAATTATACAGTCCGACTACCAACCTTTATTGTTTTCCTCTTCATATGGACACTCATTCATCCATTTGTTAATAAAGTCACATTGATCCTGTAAGCAAAGCACAGCAGAAAATACAATGAGAGGAAGTTCTACAAGTTGATAATAAACCCTCTAGCACGTCTCAATCCTATAGTTATTTACGCTCTTAAGTAATAAAATGACATGACAAAAAGAAGTAGAGGGATGTCTTCTGGGTTTGGTTTGTTTTTTTTTTTTTTTTTTTTTCCTTTTTAATTTATAGCTCGCTTGGTTTGTTTTGTTTTGTGACAGGATCTAAATATGTACTTCAGGCTGGCCTTTAATTCACTACATAGCCCAGGCTGACCTCAACTCAG